AGAGGTTTGTTTGTTTGTAATTAAGCACAAAGCTGCACAATGGGCTATCTGTGCTGTACCCACCACGGATATCGAAACCCGGTTTCTAGCGTTGTAAGTCCGCAGAAATACTGCTGTGCCACTGGGGGGGGGAGGTTTGTTTGTTTATTTCTAGTTATGCACAAAGCTGCACAATTGGCTATCTGTGCTCTACCCACCACGGGTATCAAAACCTGGTTTCTAGCTTCGTAAGTCCGCAGACATACCGCTGTGGCACTGGGGGGGGGGGGCTGGGGGAGAAGACTAATCTAATTTAATAATCGTGTGAACACAGATCTATACAGTAACACTTTGTTGACATAATAATCGTGTGAAGACAGATCTATACAGTAACACTTTGTTGACATAATAATCGTGTGAACACAGATCTATACAGTAACACTTTGTTGACATAATAATCGTGTGAACACAGATCTATACAGTAACACTTTGTTGACAGCAGAGCTCACATTATGTTTTCAGCTTCTTGGACATTAACGTGTTTGTTTCTTGTAAGACTCCAAGTGAAATATTTAATTAGTCCTTGAATTATTGATCTGATAATTTCAATCGAAGAATTTATCTATTTCTTTAAGCTGATTGGTGATTCCTGTGAGTGAGTTTGAGTTGTAAACTTAAAATGTTCTTCGTTGTTTTTTGCAATTGATGGTTGAGGTTAATAATCTCTAGATGGTTAAGGTTGCTAGGCTCTAGATGGTTAAAGTTATTAGACTCTTATCAGTCTGTTGGTGTTGAATATTCTAATTAAGTTTTGAGTGGTTTGTGCAATTCGATACACTTTTAGTTGTTTCCCTTATACCTTAGTTAGTTCTTTTTTTATAGAAAGCCATTGTTATCATTAGGTTTTGAATTGGTTTCTTCCACTTGTTTGATGTTACGAGAACATAGCTGTTTTCTGTGCTCTAACTAATTATTGACTGCTGCCATGCTTATATAATGTTAGAGAAAAAAAATGGTTTTTAATATTCATCCAGATTTAGTGAAAATATTAATTACACAACTGAGAGGAATCTTCTATTAATAGGTTTAAAATATTCTGGTTCACTATAAACTACCAAAACAACTTTCATATGTTAGGCAATTGACTAATGCACGAGACATAGAAAAGGTACTGTCTGTTTTTATAATTTATGCTAAGTGTCCGCTAGAACAAATACCACAGTAAAGCACAATATAGACAAGCCTCATCAATTGAAATAAATCGATAGCCTATTGTAATAAAGTCGAATTCAATCACGATATATACCATTTTAGTCTAGTTTATCTGATTTGTGTCGAGTAAACTCCAAAAAAGCCAACGATTGGCCTCAAAATTTATCTAAAATAATTCAGAGTTTTATTTAAATAGTGTTTTGAAACTTGTTTGCATTTCAGCGTTCGCATGTAATCTCAATATTGGTTTTGAAAACTGCTTTTATAAGGATGATTAATTTAAACCATTGAATAATTAATAAATAGCTTGTGGTGGGAAAATAAAGTATAGTTTTCTCCTGTAAACTAAACAGCAGGGTATTATTGATGCCATGTTTAATACATTTTTTAGAGTGGATCGATGATAGCAGTAATCTCTGCAGTAAATCAATAACATTTGAAGTGATAGATTAAGTTTTGTCGTTTAGAGCTATCGCTGAGAAGCGACCTCTGCAGAACCCCGCCTCTCCTGAGTATCCGTTTTTTTTTTGTTGTTGTTTTATTTACAGGCACTTTGTAATACTAATTTGTCAAGACTCTCCGGATCATTTTTGTACTGCTTGCGCGTCATTGAAATGCGGCTGATCAAATTAAAACAGGTGGATTGTCATTAGATTTCCTGGCAGTTTATTCCAAAACACTGTTTTGTGTCTAGATCTAAAACTAGTCGCAACAGGCACTTTGTAATACTAATTGTCAAGACTCTCCGGATCATTTTTGTATTGCTTGCACGTCATTGAAATGCGGCTGATCAAATTAAAACAAGTGGATTGTCATTAGATTTCCTGGCAGTTTATTCCAAAACACTGTTCCGTGTCTAGATCTAAAACTAGTCGCAGTTTACTCACACGTATACTAATGCAATACATTATGGGTACGTCTGAAATCTGCTACGATTTACGACATTTTATACTAAACTCTATAGAAATTACAACTGTTTATTCAAAAAGAATTCCTTCTGAGCAAGTATTGAACCTTATGACAATTTCTACTCAAACAACAGTTACATTTGTGGCCAGATAGAGTTTTCAACACTTTAATAAACCAGAGTACGTCTTGGGTAAAGCTGGACCGGGGTTCAGTTAATGACAGTTTACATTAAAATACTATAAATTATTCTAAAATAGCACATGGTGAACGAGTCTATAAAAACGTACAATCTATTACAATTTATGCTAAAACTGTATTATGAGCGTGTGTGGGAAAAGGCAGAGAGGAAGATATACGCAGTTATTCTTAAGTAACAAATGGTATTTGAAAACATAATTTTATAAGTACAAATTCACGAGTAATTAGCATCTTAATTGAGTTTTATTGTTCAAATTATTACCTGTTTTAGGGAGTATGCTGATTCATATTTCGAAGATAAAGATTATGTCTAGTGATTTTTACGAGTGCTCGTTATTTCATTTTCCAGTTTACTCTTAAAACAGATAGCCAGAAATCCAGGAAAATTTGGCTCATATTGAAGGATACCATTAGAAGTATAGGGGCCAAACCTACTTATCCTAACTCCTAGTTTAGCTTAAATAATGGAACAAACCCCAAAACTCCAGACCTAATATCTAACAGGTATTATTTATCATAACAAAGATAACGGGTATTTCAAGAATCGCCATTAAACAGACGTGATAATGAAGGTCGCGACACTTTGCTTAGAACTAATATTTACTAAGGAAAATTTTTAAATTGAAACGGATTAAATTCATCTATCGGTTATAATAACACTTTATCACAATTATGCTGACGTATACAGAGACAGGCAGAAACAGTTTAAAGACCATAATGAAAAAAAAAAACGCGCTCGTGATTAAGAACCACCGTTCTAGATTGCTGAGTGCAATTTTTGATGAAAAGGGACGCAAACCTGGAATCCTTAAAAGAACACGTCTGACTCCAAAATTAAGCTAAGAACGACAAGTTTTTAAGAACGAATAATGAGCAAAGTTAATCTACAATTTTAACTCGTTCATTTTAAGGATGTAGTTTATGCTTTATTTTGCATACACGTATATAGGTCACATGTATAGGTTTAGGAAGTTATTTTTTGATATCTTAACATAATGCTTTCATACAGTACAGTATATTGTATTGTACTTCCGTGTTTCCAGAAAAAGTTTTAAATTTAGTATAATTATCCCTATTTCAATGAATCACGTCACAAGTACGCTTACATAAAATCAATTAAGTATGTCTCTCACATAAACAAAGAACAAGCAGCACGAACTGGATATTATGGGACTTACTGTTCCAACGTTCAAGATACGAAAGTATGTCGTAATCAGTTTTAGAGGCTTAATTACTTTACAATCGAGTCTATTTTTAGAAGAATTTACGTGTTTATAATGCATGAAGGACTTACTTAAAATATATCTGAGGATTAAGTAGATTAACTGAAGTAAAAAAAAAAAACTTCTCGAATGCTCGATTCCAATCGGTAACAATATTATTTTCTTCCCCCTTTTTTTCTAAGCTCAAAACTGGAGTAAGCTGTTATTAAAAAAAGCGATAACTTATTACTAAAACAAGTTCAGTAAAAGTGACATTGCTTTTTTTTTCTTTCTTTTACAGATAACAGAGCATAACTTGATACAATGCCTATGCATGAAATGCCGATAAAATTAAAGGGTTTAATGAAAACTCCACCTACCATGTTAAAAATTGTCTATAATACGTTTCTGCATTGGAGTGATGATATTGCCATTGACAATTATAAATTATTAATAGCTTCCAATGAATATTAAGCTATTTAAATCAAAATCAAATCACAATTATAAACGAATGAAGCTAAAGATGTATAATAAACTGACTAGAATTACATGATATCAAAGTTAATACAGAGGGAAAACATAAGCTTTAATAAACTGAATACAGTTATATAATATCAAAGTTAATACAGAGGGAAAACATAAGCATTAATAAACTGAATACAATTATATAATATCAAAGTCAATACAGAGGGAAAACATAAGCATTAATAAACTGAATACAATTATATAATATCAAAGTCAATACAGAGGGAAAACATAAGCCTTAATAAACTGAATACAGTTACATAATATCAGAGTCAAAGCAGAGGGAAACCTAAGCATTAATAAAATGACTATAATTGCATAATATCAAAGTCAATACAGAGGGAAAACGTAAGCATTAATAAACTGAATACAATTATATAATATCAAAGTCAATACAGAGGGAAAACGTCAGCCTTAATAAACTGACTAGAATTACATAGGATCAAAGTCAATACAGAGGAAAAACGTAAGCCTTAATAAACTGTAGCTTTGCGCGAAATTCAAAAACATACAATCTTCTATTTGATATGTGAAGATGCATTAATAGTATTTTATTTTGTATTTAGGAAGCTGGTTATGTCTTTCGTTCGAAAATAGCCGATGTTGTGTAGGTATGTTAGATAAATGGTTGAATTTTTGTTTAAAAATTCAATGTTACTTTACTGTTATACCAAAAGTTCAAGCGTCTCAAAAGACAAATTGAAGTATACATATAGAAATGTTATCTTTACCTGTCTTTATATCTTCCTGTTTAACCATCATATGTTTAGTTTAAGAAACTGAAATAGCTGTATCTATACTAATAGCATTAAGTAATAATATGTCATAGTTTTAGAGTTAAGCAATGGGAAGTTGTAATAAGATTGATAGAAATACGAGTAGGTTTATGCTGATGACATAAACGTATTTCATAAAGCTTGTTCACAGATAAGAAAATAAATTATAGCTTTTTTTTTCAAATATATTTTAATTTAGTGCATCCCGAGATCTAAGTTACAACAATGGGAGAAAACTCATCCTATCAAGTTCGACTGGTGGTGCTGGGGGGAACGGGAGTAGGAAAATCGTGCATCATCAAGAGGTTCCTGTTTAACACCTTCACTGAGAGACATTGTCCCACTGTGGAGGACATGCACTACAGAGAATTTGACCTGGGTAACACGACTCTGAAGGTGGACTTTCTGGACACTGCCGGTGACATGCAGTTTCCAGCCATGCGACGACTTTCCATAGCCAATGCGCAAGCTTTCCTTCTGGTGTACACCATAGACAGTAAGACTTCCTTCGAAACCCTGAAGAAGTGCTTTGAAGAGATTCGGGAACAGCGGAAAGACTTCCAAGAGATACCCATCATTGTAGTTGGAAATAAAGCAGACGTGACCAGCGAACGTCGTGAGCTGCTTAAGGAAGACGTGGCTGAGTGGGTTTTCTGTGAACTCCCTCGACTTCGGGTCAAAGTCTTGGAATGTTCTGCAAAAGATAACGTCAACACGAAAGAAATTTTTCGATCTTTCCTTATTTTGGCTAAAATACCTTTCCAGTCAGATTCGTCAGGTTTGTGCCGTCGCTCCAGTGCACACGCGTCTTGTTCAAAAGCCACAGGCTCGGAAGAAGGGCATAAAAAAAACGCACCACGCAGTCGTAGTTTGATTCGTCGTGTAAGCAAGAAAGTATCTAAAATGCGAGAGAATGTCCCCAGTGATAATGAAACAAACGATTGTGTGTTATCATGAACGAAAATACTTCGTTCCTGAATCGTTTTGTAATGTGTTGTGTAATTGGTCGAATTATTATGTTTTATTCAGTAGACATTAACCACTCTTCTGCCAAATCCCACGCAAGAGCCGACCCTACTACCGGGAATTATCTGGCTGTGCTTGCTTATGATTCACTGTTGCAACTTAATGCTTAATGTGGAGGGAAGAGAAAACCTTACATATCAAAAATTGAGATTATTAACGTCCAAAGATCGTTGTCTAATGGCATTATATTTAAAAGTAGAAGCTTTAGTGTGTGCACAACCATATATCTTTTTATTAATTTAGAAGTAATAAGTTTTCCTAATGTTTTGGCGTAAAATAATTATTGTACTTGTTAACGATATATACAATATATATGTATATGAAACTTGATGGATGGTTTCTATTTATTAAGCTTAATTTCAAAAGCATCAAATTACACGTTTTGAAAATATTTTAAATCACTTCTATAACTAACAAACACAATATTACCGTCAATTACCACAATATAAACTTGTAATATCACAAACCAAATAACACAGCTGTGAATTTAGTTTGACTATTATGCTTGAATTGGATATTTGTGGTACAGACATATTTCTCCAGTTAAACAAATAAGTAGAATGTGATCTAGGTTAAATATAGTCCGTTAAACAAAAAAGTAAAATGTGATCTAGGTTAAATATAGTCCGTTAAACAAAAAAGTAAAATGTGATCTAGGTTAAATATAGTCCGTTAAACAAAAAAGTAAAATGTGATCTAGGTTAAATATAGTCCGTTAAACAAAAAAGTAAAATGTGATCTAGGTTAAATATAGTCCGTTAAACAAAAAAAGTAAAATGTGATCTAGGTTAAATATAGTCCGTTAAACAAAAAAGTAAAGTGTGATCTAGGTTAAAGTTATTGCGTTAAACAAAAAAGTAAAGTTTGATGTAGATTAAAGTTATCCCGAGAAATAAAGGCAATATATGGTTCCTAATACAGGTGTGCAATTTTATCATTTTATGGTTTACCTGCCTATATCAATTATCTGAAATAGAAAAGAAAATCACGTTTTTTTTTATTAGGTTCAGATATCAGAAACATTAAAGACAACAATATCTTCCAATAGTCGTCAAGATTTACATAATTTTCAGTGTTTTAAACGTAGTATACAATAAGGCTGTACACTAGACCAGTAATTCGGACTATAAACTGTTTGAGAACGAAACGGTTACCTAGTTACCTTAAAAATCTGTGAATAATCATTAGGGCGTGGAGATTTTGATACCTGTGTGCAATGTTAAAATATAAAAGTTGGCACACGAAATAACGATGTAATACGAGGAACATAGCTAAAAAGAAACATACGATTATAATAAATTAATTAAATATAATTGTAATTATATAAAAAAAAAACAATGCCATTGTTTCACTATATTCTGAGCACGTTCACAAACTCAACATAGTTATAATAATTTTTACGCTTGGGAAAACAAATGAGATCAATGAAACATGAAACATCTCAAGCATATTTTTTGTATTAATAAAATGGAGGCAGCTTCTTCTTTAGTTACAGTATGTTAAATTTCATACACGTACTTGAACACTACTTAATTCTAGACAAAATTTACTGAATGCTAATGAAATGACTCTTTTTCTCAGAAGCTATACTGGAGTTAGGTTAAGCATTTTGGAAGCACAGGCTTCAGTATTTGGAACTTAGGCATAAATAATACCAAGATAAATGTAACAATGTGAAATCCTGTTTTGAATCTTCTAACACGCGTTTCTTGCTAACCTCTATCACCATGTGACAGTAGAACTTATCAAATCCAGTTGTGACGCGAGTGTACTGAATACATGATCTGTGGATAATCCATAGGCTGGGAATATGACTAAACCTGGAGAACTAGCTGGAATGGTATGAGTGCTTACTGTGAAAATTGACCATTATATTACATGCACTGCTAACATGCGTATTTTATTACTCATATATACAGCCCCGCAGTGGCACAGCGGTATGTCTGCGGACTTACAACGCTAGAATCCGGGTTTCGATACCCGTGGTGGGCAGAACACAGATAGCCCATTGTGTAGCTTTGTGTTTAATTACAAACAAATCATATATATATTAATATACAAGCTTGCCCCCTCTCGCTGTCTTGGTCACGAGTTTAGCGAAGAAACGAGGGAATGAGGCAATTTATATTCTGATAATTACATTTAGTCAAATGTCGATATATCACAGAAAGTATTTACAAAAGAAAAAAAAAGAAGAAACAACTCAATCTGGAAGATTACTAGCGTCTTTGAATAGTATTGTTGTGAAATCTCCATTCATTTGTACGTGTCTCGTGGTATCACTAATTTAAAATGCCATGAGGCTTAGTCATATCACAATAATGATGCCAGTGTAAGCTGTGCTACATGGCTCTGAGTGTCGTACGTTAAAACAATTATGCTGGTGTTGCCACAAGACTGATTAACGTGATTTTAAATACAGTATATGCGTCTCAAGTTTTGAATAAAATATTTTTATATTAAAACTACTAAATATAAATAAAATAATATAGTTAAATATATCACTTTTATTTGGCTCACCGGACATAAAAAAAAACAGTAATGCACAGTTTAATATAGTAAATATTACATCACGTTTCGTGGAAAAAAGTGAGTAGGCATACATAAACGACAAGTATAGATTACATGGAAAGGCAGAATTGAAACATGTAAAGAACGTATCAGTTCATAATATGTTCTTATTGATTTATATAGCACGTTTTCTGGGATTCAACCCATGACAAGACTCAAACATTGGGTGTACTAAGAAAGACATTGAACAGTTTTTGGATTTAATGTGATAACCAGATTGCTATTTTGATTAGTTCTTTGACAATTGTTTCTCCAGCAATAAAACAAAACAGGGTTTCATGTTGCAAAATTAAGAAAAGATGAGTTCAATGCTACTTTTGTTCTTAAACATTTTCCAAGTCTGTTCTTATTGCTATACTAACATACACTTCCACATTCATGTACTAAAATGATTCTTCAGATCGTGATGCATTTTGTATAATTGAAACTGGTGAAGGTTTGTCTGTTAGGTTACGTGATCACAAACGTTTACCGTCATTTGTGTTTAGAAATGTCGTGAACTTTAATGATGTTACAATAAACGATGCTATTATTTTAACCAAGAAACAGATGAGTAAAAATAAACGCATCAATAAGAACAGATATCATGAAATTCCCTTTACATATTTTAATTCAAGATTTTTGTGTAATCCTTGTGTGTCAGTTGTTATACTCCGTTTGTGTTTTGTCCTGTACTTTTCTATTTCACACGATTAAAAATAGTATTTAGTAAACCTAAACTCTAAATTAATGCATCGTGTAAGCCTAATGATGCCTTCTGAACTAAACGAAACGTAATTTTAATAATCTTTATTTTAAACTACTGGCAAAAATCCATTGTCTTTAGGTGTTAAATACTGGCAAAAATCCATTGTCTCTAGGTGTTAAATAATGGCAAAACGCATTACTAGCTGGAGCATAAGGTTAGTTTGTTTTTTTTAAGTTTAACTTGAAATATAGCTTGCATCATGAGACGCGTTCAATGAAAACCACATTAATCACGTGACTTGTCAGCCGGAATCAAAATGATCATGTGATTATTTTGTTAATGGTTCAATAGATTTAACACCTAGAGACAATGGATTTTTGCCAGTATTTAACACCTAAAGACAAGGAATTTTTGCTAACAATTTTTTCCATACTAGAGTCACAAAACTCCGAAAACTGGATCATGATAATAATCCTGGAAATAAAGCCACAACATTATCTTAATCTATGTTGGCTGATAATTTTAACAAACAATTAAAGTGAAGAAAACTAAATTAATTCGTGGTGTTTCATGGGTCTGTTAATAATAGTTATTCGTTTTTAACTTCTACCATTCTCAACGTAAGCAGAAAAAATATATTGGAAAAAAATAAATAAAATATTTTGACTGAATTATGTAAACTAAATTGAATAAATGTTAACTTCTCTTTCTGTCTGTCTGTCTGACACTCCGGTGGCTCAGCGATATGTATGAAGGTTTATAACTCTAAAAACCGAGTTTGGATAACTGCGGTGGACAGAGGACACACACAGCCCATTGTGTGATGTAACGCTTAACAATAAACAAAACTCTTTATATAATCACGAAAGCTTTTTGCAATAGGACGTATCTGTTATAAGTTGTTAGCTTTACTAGGAACGAGTTTTTTTTTAAGCTATTGCTTCCTAAGGCCAGTATCATCCGAAAATTATATTATGTTCTAACTTGTGTAAACGCTGCTCTTTTTAATCGAGAAAATATAGAGATTGGATGTGAGTCGACATTGGATTTCTACAAATAGGGGTTGATCAGCTCTTGCCGTATTGTTTGTTAACAATACAAGAACCATAGCTAGATTAAATATTGTTTTTCATTGGAGAGGCGAAACACTAATATATCCGAATGGGTCCACAGGAAAACGTAAAGAGTTAACATAAAGTTATGATACCTTCTTTAAACCAAAAATCTTATAATCAGAGAGCTATAATATTTGCTAGATAAAGTACAATATGATGGAAAAAGATGATTCCACTTCAAGTACAATTCTAACCAGGAGACAATAGAATGTAACTTGCATACCTGTGACTGTATTAAAAAACACCAAACATGCAAGATTTATTATGTTATCAGAACATATACCTGGCAGTTTATCTCTGTACATTAGAAATGTTCTCGTAAGGCATTGATACGGCTACAGTTGTAACGCTAGTATAACATTAAGGTAACAACGACCTGAAAGCGGAGAACGGAAAGAACCATGCAGTAATATGGCCATTCGAAAAGCTAATAATAAAATCTGAGCAAAGATAGGTTGTTCTAAAATGATCCTGCACTTCACAGAAGAGGAGTTTTGAATGAAACAGTGGTCATGCAAGATGAAGCTCCACCAATATTGCGCGAATTATCAAGACATTTCTGAAACATGTCGTCAGATACTGAGTAATCAATAGACATTTACCACACACAAGATCAGAATGGTCTTCAGATCTCACACTTCTCAAGTCTGTGAAGTATCGGGACGCTATCTTGACAGACAATTATTGGAAGTCGGCCAGTATCATTCAGCTGTGTATTTGGCCTTAGAGCCGTCTTTCCCACAATCTCACCAATTCATCAATTCATGTCGTAGCTCTCTCTTACTTCGTTTTCGAATTATGGATATTACAGCAAACAAACTAAATTTACAGTAACCCTCAATGAACTAATCTTCTAGTATAAAACTGAAAGCAGCTCCACTTAATATTTTCCAATATATATACAGAAGAGAGTGTTGGTCAGTCTTAAAGTTTGAAGTTGAAAGCACTTTAATAATAGCTTGACCAAAATAGAAAATGAGAGAGAGAGAGAGCTCCAAAACTATATTAGTAAGAAGCTCGTGACAGCTCGATAACTCGTCCAAATGTCTCCAGAAAAGATAGAGCGCTGGTAAGTTAAGTTTTGTGCTCTATTTGAACTGTTTAAATCAGAACAGACTTGTACCTTATACGAAACGACCTGCAAGAGTTAAAATTTTCCCCTTCCCCCCCAAAAAAGAACCCTGAATTCAGAACCACCTCTCTATTTTCTCTGTTTGTTCCACAGAAATGAGCTTTGATTTCCTTTGTTTGAACCACAGAAGTGAGCTTTGATTTCATCTATTTGATTCACAGAAATAAGCTTTGATTTCCTCTGTTTGATTCACAGAAATAAGCTTTGATTTCCTCTGTTTGATTCACAGAATTGAGCTTTGCTGAAATAGCAAACTAAAGTAGAGAATAATTGCCATATTAAAAAGAGATTGCTACAAAAGAAATATCCGGAAC